ACTCTCATCTCTCTTCTTTTCATACTCATTCAGTTTTACATAACCAGTGTGATTTCTTTTTTTTTCCCCAGAATTTTTTTTTGTAGTTTTATTTGTCTGCAACTCAGTTTATATTCCACAATTTCGAAATGTTTTAGGTTGGATTACTTATGTTCTTTCTTTAGAAGCTGAAGTGGTAAACCTTAATATGACTTTTTTGAATTTATATAGCAACAGTATTACGTATCCCTGGGTTGTGATCCACCAGTTTCCTAACTAATAATTAGTTCTGCCTTGACTCTGTGTTTGTACAATAAATGGTTTTGTGAGGGCTTCTTATGATACACCTTCTGTTCAAGATTTTTCAAGTTCAGTAAAATCAGGTTTGAGTGTTTATGCTGGGCATATAAGAAAAGATACATTTTGAATTTGGACAGTTCCGTCAGTGATTTAGAGAATGACCCTGAAGTAGTCTCATCTTTTCTTGTGTGCTTTGCTTTTTACTGTTGCAAAACAAGTAGGGCTATTGCAAAACAGGTAGGGTTACAGTGTACTTGTAGAGAAAACTTCTTATGATGAGAGGTAGAATTTCTTGATCTTTCTTACATCTACTGCAGCACCAAACACAGTTTGAATGCAATTTTTTAATGTGTATACAAATTAATAGAAAAATACTTGCAGTTGTCTTCAAATCGTTACTACTTTGTTGCTTGGATAAATTAGTTATTTTCTGTTTGGTAGAGCGATCCAATTTCTGGAAGGAAAAAACAGCACCAAAAAGTATACTACTTATGCTGTGTTTTCAGAGGTGTTATTTGAATTAGCCATTTTCATTAACTTGAACTGTTGTGTCATTACAGTAGTAATTAGGCATTTTTGTCGTGCGGGCGTCAGTATGCTCTTACTTCTCAAAATTACTGGTTTCTATTTCAAATCATAGCTTGTTTTAACTTGTCTTAATTTTAAAAATTTGCCATCAAAGAGCTTCTGGATGCACTGCAATGTAAAATAACAGTGGTGATTTAAAAAAAAAAAAGGTGGACCTGGTAACTACCAACTTAAAAAGCATTCATAAATAAATGAGTAGCTTTCACTCTGGAGCAAAATGTGGAAATTCCACCCCCCAAATAATCCATGTTCAGCTTGGTGGTGGATATTGTCAGAATCATTGTCCCATCAGTCAAAAAAACGGGAATGTTTCTCAAAGCCAGCACAATCAACTAATACTTCTTATTATTGGCTTTACTAACTCGATGCCCTGTTGCCAAAGAATCAATTACACATTTACAAGCTAGTGGTTAAGCTGTTCCTTTCTCTCTTTTTATTTCATCTGGACTCTTGCATGCTAGGAATTAAAATTCTTAGAGTCTGCTTAAAGTAAGAGATCTCCTCTAGCTAAACTTCCCTGAAATAATTAATAACGTAACTTTGCAACCTGTTTGTATGTATTGTTTTCTTTTCTTCCACCTTGGCTGCAAATTCTCTCAGGTCTCCGCTGGTTCATCCGCCAAGCCATGGATGCCGCTCGACTCACAACAGCCCAATTCACACTGCTACTGGCTCACGACTTACTCAGAACTTCTCTGTGTCTGTTCCCACTCTCATCTACACTGGTACGAGACTGCTCAGACTCAAGAGCTGGGGAGAGGCAGGCCACAGGCACAGTGGTCGCAAAGTGCAGGCAGGCAGGCAGTGTAGGCAGGTACCACCCATCTTTTCTCCCTCATTTTCTCATGGAGACACCTTCTATTGTCAGTGAAGAACTACTCTGTGTGCAGCTGCTGAAACAAAGGCAATAGTTCCTTGAAAATGCGTCGGAGTCTCTTCCACAAAGCCACACTCTTCATTTCTTTTAAACATGCTTACTTTCCAAGAAATTAAGTAAAAATAAGTTGATGTGTCTGAGGAACATTCGCTATTTTACAGTCATTGGAGGAAATCATGTTTTGATTGGCGTTCATAATTGCTTTCAAGTGTAATTCAAATACGGTATTTAGGTTTTAAAATGGTTATAGGAAGGGTATGTGCCATTTGTGGAAGAGATGGTTTTGGAAAGCAGGTAAGTCAATCTGTGCATAAGTGAACTGTTTGTCAATATAGTTGTTCCCATAAAGATGCTCCTCTTTGCTCTGTTTTTAGCTGTGGCATGCTGCTGATGCTATAGGATAAGGAAACATTCCCCCCCCCCTTAAAATGCATATGTGTGTATATACATAAATGTATGAATATGTATAAACACAAATATAATTTGAAATCATTTTTTGTTTATTAAACTAACTCAAAGCATTGTGTATTTGACCAGATTTTTAAGCCATAAACTGTTTTCAGTTTTTTCTTTTGCGTATATATAATTTTTTTGTCACATCTCATGCCTTTCATTTGGCTTAATTGTTATATTGTAGATTATCAGCATCTATCTGTAGAATGCTGAATGGGTAAAACAGCATTTCTTTGCCTCTGGCCTCATCCCCAGTCTCGCACCTAAGGAATAGCTGCTGGCCCTGCCCCAGTCCCATCCTGGTGTTTGGATCATGCTGCTGTCAGCCAGGTCCTTTGGCACAGGATTACTGAATATGTTTCCACCTTCTTCTGGCAGGATTCCCTTCAATGAAGATCCCAATCCCAATACTCATTCATCAGGACCCTCCACCCCTCTGAAAAACCAAACCTATTCCTTTTCACCTTCCAAGTCCTACAGTCGACAGTCCTCTTCTTCTGACACAGATTTGAGTTTGACACCCAAAACTGGTAAGGCGCTTCCACCCACTTTTTGTTTAATTTGTGTTTCTCTTTTTGTATTTTCATTCAACCCCTTTTTGCTTTTTGGCATTTAAGTTATCAAAATGATGTGGAAATTGGAGACTTCAGATAGCACACCTCAAGCCTGACAGGATTTCTGTAGGGCGAAAATTTAAATCCTGCCTATATTTCCACTATTCTGGATAACATTAAAATGACATTTGTAACACAACTGTATTCAAATAGAAATAAAACATCTCGGAGCATTAAGGGAGTCCTAAGTAATTGCCTTTTTCTTATTTCCTCCATTTCATATTACAAATCATGGAAGTACATTTCTTACCACAGTGTGTTAAGGACAGTGTTACTAAAAGTATGTAGTCTTCAAGCCTAATGCGTTATGCTATAAATATATTGTATACATTTCTCTGATTTTTAACTCCTTTTTGCAAATGTAATACTAGAAATGTAGCAGCTGCTGTCGTCTTATTATCCTTGGTATATGGAAATGGCTTTACATACACAGTATACTTTTTGAAAGTAACTTAAGCTACACTCCAGCCATGTTCAGAAGGCATTTTTCTTTCTCCATGGGTCTATCATTTCTTCAATTTGTTTCCTCCCTCATTTTTCAGTCTGTGATTAGAATCATGTCAGTAATAATGTCAGCACAACTCAAAGAATTATTTTCTGTTTACTGTCCATTATGTGACCAATGCCCTGAGTTTTGCTGCTGTAGGGCAAAATATTTTGCATAATTGTTTATAGAAGTTTGGTTGCTTTTTAAATGGTGTTTTAAATTGTGGTATTTGAAGCTCAGAACATTCTTGTCTCCATCTAGTCTAGGCAATTTTTAAGCATTTTAAAGTAGTTGATTCAGCTTTACTTGATAGCACCCCTTTCAAGAATTTTTCCAAGCAGATAAGTTAAATGTTGCATTAAAATGCAGTTATATTAAATATTTTATTCATTTTATTCCCTAGATATCTGTCAAAAAATGTTCCCAATTAGGAAGCTGTCTTTCTTAGTACTATTTTCTCTGTCCTGTTTTTAAAAAAACAAACAAATAAAAGCACACTTTTTTTTTGTCCTTTTGTGTAAATGATAACTGTTTTGTGGGTAACCTATGGTGGTCCCTTGTTTAAAGGACCTACAGATATAACTGGATGCTCATTATGTAGGAGAACCACAAATCCATGTGTTTGGTTTACTGAGTATTTGAAAACTTGTTTCTTTTGATCAGATTTTCTGTGGTAAGGATCATGTCGTGTAAAGGATTTAAATGTAATGTAGATGGTCATCTTTATAGATGTAAATGTTCTGAATTTCTGAAGGTGGTAATTCACTGAATTTGTCAAGGTTTTAAAGCAGCAATCTTATATTGTAATGTTAGGTAGGTGGATGGGCCCTCTCATCTTTAGTTGGTTCATGCAGAACTGAAACAGATTGTGTAATTGGTACCTCTTGTTTTTAGGGATTTTTCAAGTATATAAAGATATTTTTTAGCTATCTTCTTAGTATTAAAGCTAACAGTGGGCGTACTTTTGCTTACTAGCACCGTCTTTTCAGCAGCTTTTAACCCTGCTACTGAAGCTTGTCTTAAGAGGATTTGCTGATTGCATTTAAAAATTCTGTATCTTGGTGTTACATGCTAGATTTTGAATCTTAATAGCTTAAAAGGACAGTATCTCTTGAGTCATTTTACCATTTACCAAAAATTTGATGATGTGCAGAAGATACTTCCATAACATACTAAATTCAGTATGTTGTTCTTAACAATTCACTGTATATGTTTAGACCTCTGTTTTCATTTCCTAAGACTGTTAAGTTGGAGTATTTCAGTGTGAAAGTTGGTGATGTTAGTGTTTTTTAAAAAAAAAAAAAAGGCAAACATCTCATGTGACACATTAAACATTATAAAATTTGAGATACCCGTTACTCAGATTGGCTGATGTGAAAAATGAGGTATTTTCTGATGTTTCTGCAGTAGATTGTATTCCTCTTTATTTCTCAGTCAGGTAGCTAGTGTGTTCACGTGTTTGAGATGGAGACTAAGCTGGAAAAAGAGTGCAGATACCACAATTTCACAGTATGAATAACTAAACAGAGAAGATTGACACTTGGATCTGCTTAAACATCTAGTTTTCAGTAGCTCCAAATCAGGAGAATATTACCTTAATGTCTTTTATAAAGTACAATTGTGATTGTGTTATCCATTCTGGTCTATATCTGGTCTAAATATGAGGGGAAATTACTCTGTGCTGAGAAAGCTTGTTTTGGTTTGAAGTCAGACTTCCGTGAATAGTGATATATTTTATGCGACTGCAAACTAACAATATCAGGCTGACAAAAAGCATGACATACTTTAATTAGGTAATACATTTTGATGTGACATAGTATATGTTTGGAGGAAATGGAGAAGGTGGGAACTCCTTTTCTTTGTCGGAACATAGAATTCTACAAGATTTATGACTCTAAAAATCATAAAACAAATCCATGACTTCTCTGGAAAATAACTTTTTATACCTAAATAATGAAAGTAATCAGATTAAGTGTGTGAGAAGACTCTGTTATTTAGCCTTTACTCCATAGTATTTGTTACCAAATTTTGTATAAAATTTAAAATAAATGTTAGATTATCATGGCTTTTAAAAAATTAATTTCAAAATACAGTTAATCAGGTCATGATTTTTGAGAACATGCTTCTCATTCACATTGTGGAGCTGTATTGTCATTCCGTTTCTTTGTATGTTAAGAAATAATTTAGCAATAAGTGCTGGTTCATTTGGAGAAAAAAAAAAGCTTCATTTTGATTTCTTCCGTCTGTTTCTTTAGTCATCTTCTGAATCTACATCTCTTTGTCTCTATTACTTTCCTCCACAGCACCTTCCCCACAGGGACCTAGGATTTTCCTGTTTCCCAGCTCCCCTACACTCTCTTGTGATTCCCCACATCTTAAAAAGTCCTGTCTCCTCCTCTCGGGGTCTAGCCTTAACCCTCTACACTCTAGCCATGTCAGCCCAGTTGTTCTGAGGAAAAGTGTTTCTTTCACTGAAGAGCTGCTTCTGGCTGCTTCTGGTAGGATCAATCTATTATGGCCTTTTAAACAAACTTTTAAAAAAATGTTGTTGTTATTTGATACAGGGGCATTTAACACACAGCCTTCTATAACCCTATGTTTTTGTTCAATTAGCCTCTGAAAACTGCTGGCTACATGACTATTCATACCATCTCCCGTCTGCTCCAGAAGCTTGAAACAGCTTCAGAACTTCTTAAAGGATTTGAAACATATGTAGTTTATGCTACAGAACGCTCTCCTTTTCCCTCACAAAATTTCCTTTGGTAATTGGACTAAAATAATTTACTTTTTTTTTTAATCCCCCTTATTCCCTTCACTTTGTTGTTCCTATATTTTGCATGGAACAAGCACTTGCTCATTAAGACATTCATAATTTATTGAAATAATGGCTATCAGATGGCTAGCGACTCCACTCTTTAAATTAATCTTTTAAACAAAGCCCGTACAAACTTTTTATTTGTACTGCCTCCTTTTCCATTTCACTGACATGCATTATTTTCATGGATTTAAATTAAATAGTTGATATTACTGCTTTTTTCTGTAGAAACTGTTTTGATTAGTTTGTATTTTTTGAGTTTGTTTCATGTCCAGTATTTATGCTATGTTTGTCTGTATTTAATATTGTATAGTCCCTGACAATGATGTTTAGACTCAATGCCAAATAGTAAAAGCAATTTAATCTTGTTTAATGGGACTATACAGATACTAATCTTTTTGTTTCCTTATCCAAGAACAGCTAAAAATATTTGTTAAAAATTGTAGTATTTTTATATATAATTATATGGTAATGGTAGCTTAGCAATTTTTGGAAATACTAGGAATGAATTAACATACAACATTAAGTCCGGTATTATTTCCAGATCTCCCAGTCTTTGGTTAAAACAAATAACTGCACTTCGATGTATATGTACAATCTCATTCATGTTTATTAGATGCTTGATCAGAAGAAAAAGGAAACTAGCAAGGAATTGTTATGTTAATTCTGTAAAAGAAAATCTTGGCTTCATTCATAACTGTTTGCACTGTGGTGTTTGTATTTCATCTTGCTCCTGATGCTTCTTTTTGTTTCTTTATCCTGTGCTTTCCTATACAACTTAGGTTTTTATTTTTGCTTTGTCAAGTTAGCACTGATGGTTTTTAGATACAAGAAATAGCAATGATAGTATGGTTTTAGGCATGAAATATTACCAAGAAAATCTGATTCACCAGCATTGTGTTTGCTTTAGGAAAAACACAATCTTGGTATGTGTTTATTTTTTACTTTTGTGATTTCTAACCATAGAGCAAATAACTTACTGTCATACATATAACCTGCATCTCGACACACTCAGTTCTAAGAGTACAGTTGCTTGATAACAGATAATGGGATAGCAAAGGTATTTGTGTATCTAATAAGCTTTCCATCGCTTCAGAAAAGCTCCTATATTGGGGGGGGTAGGGGTTGGGAGTAAAATACATGAAAGAAGGAAAGAGAGAATTACCCATATTATGCAAAATTGGAGTTTCTTATTTTCATTTACAGATAATCTGCAGGTTATGCATGTCCAAATAAGTAATCAAATAATTGTGGTAATTTTAAATGCTGAGCAGTAGTCCTTAGCTTATCTGAATGAATCAGATGAGTGAATATTTCATTGCATAGGTATTAAAGAAAATAAAAATAATTGGTAATTTTTTTCAGAGTTTATGTTTCAAATCAAAGGATGTGCATTGCCTTTGCAATTTTCTTTTTAGTCCTAATCATGCATTATATAGCTACTGCTGTAATTATGTGTACAGTCTCCTCCCAGTCGTTAGGAAAGGTGATTTAGTTACTCTGAAACTCTCAGAAAGCCAGTTGTTTTTTTTTTTAACTGATAATGATAGTAGAGAGAAATACTTTACTATAGAGTAATCTGGCAGAGAGGCATTGTTCAATAGTGTGGAATTAATGGTGACTTTGCAGCCCTTTTTGGTAACGGCTGGAAATCTGACTATGTAGGAACTTTCTGTGAAAAGCAGAGAAGGTAGATATATATTGAAATCATAGACAAAACTCCCAATAGTAACAAGTAAAAAAAAAAGGTTTATGTCATAGGAAAGAATTGCAAGCCCAGGTCTTAGACTCTTTGTATTTTGAAGTTTTTTTTTTAATTCAGGTTGACAGCAGAAAAAGATCTTGGATCATGAGGTTTTTGTTCAAATGCTAAAAAAAACCACTGCTATCATGTGAAAACCAAACCCAAAAAACAACCCCCCCAAACCCAAATTAAACAGATGCTCAGTGTTTTTTTTCTGAAAATTAAAATTATGGGGATAATGTGACTGTTTTCAATGACTACTTTATATATTTTTAAATCAAAGTTTGATTACAAGTTATATGTTTCTTTGACTGTCGTTTGTACTGATACTCTTCAGGAATGGGCAGTGGGAGTGCTGGAAAAGAAGGGGGGCCATTTAAGACTCTTTTAAGACAACAGACTCAGTCAGCTCTGGAACAAAGGGTAAGGCACTCTGTACTTATATTTTGATCTACTAAAGTGAAAATTTAGCTTGTAGTAAGTTAAATGTTTCCTGTTACTTTCTGTTTAAAAATGTGTGTGATTTTTAGGTCTGAAAACTTACTGGAAATGTTGAACATTTAATAGCATTTTTATGCACAAATTATTTAATTTTTAATATATTACTAAACCATTAAGAAGAGCGGAGGAAGTAACTGTAATGTGCACAGCACTCAAGTGATTACAGTTGGTGTTACAAGAAACAGAGCAAAAATTACTGCTATTTAGTCTCTGTAAGTTAGTGATGCATGTGTAAATTTAATACTTTACCATCATGTATTTAGTTACATTCTTACAGAAGCCAAATGCAGAAACATTGGAATAGCTTTAAACAAGGTGAAAATCCCATTTATAATTGCGAAAACTTTCAGTTTTGAAAAATAGATTTGGTGTATAATTTAGCCTTCGTTCTACTACATGAAATGGTGTGCATGTAGCCTTTAAAAAATGGTAACTTAAACCTAAACCACTTCCCAAGCAATAAAAGGGCTTTATAGATTTACAGGTTTTTGAAGAACCTCTATAGGACTAAAAATGCTATCTGTTATTATGCTGAATAGGCTGTATAATAAAAATAGTGTTTTTAATTCTTTGTTTAAATTTTGGAATGAGTCCTTGCAACTTTTTTTCTACAGATTATATACTGCTTTTGTCAAAATGTTATTAGTGAGGTGTCTTGAAGGAAGAAATGTGTCTTCCTATTCAGAAATAAATTCTAGCTTAATTACAATTTCTGACTACCTGAACTACTTACGTAGAACCATATACGTTTGTTGAAAATAAAATCAGCTATATCTGTGAAATATAAGTGAATAGCTACTATTTTGAGTAAGTGGATGATTCTCTTCTCATTTTTTGTGTTATCCGTTGCTAAGGGAGGATCACCTCATAGGTTCTGTAGAAGGCGGGTATGTTCCAAAACATTGTGTGACTCTTTTTGTAGCCCTTTTTTCTTGTATTGAGGGTTTCTAGACAATTATTTGAAATATTTTGGTTTTCTTTTTTGTGGGGTTTTGCAGATTTCTTTTTAATCTTGTTTATGCAGGATTTTGTTTATATTTGTTCTGGGCTTTTTTTAAGAGCATTTATCAGATTGGCATACTTTTGCTTAGTGTTTTGCATGTTGATACATTTCAGTTAAAATTTTAATTTCTCTTTAAATACAAATCCATGGCTTTTTGCTTTTAATGTTTTAGTTTGGAAAAAAAAATGCTTTAAAAAGAGTCTTTTCTCTGTTTACCTTTGTTTCTGCTAGCGTTTCAGACATTTCATGGCTAATCTGGTATTTCCTTAGGAAGCTTTTTAAAAACAATTAAAAATGTAAATTAAGAACACTTAATGTGTTTTTAGAGCTTGAATTATTTGCACATTGTTTTCATGAGACCTGTATATTGTCTAGTGGAAAAAAATTACTGTAAAATGAGATGGAAACATGTTGAATCTGTTATTAATGATAATGATGCAGCAAAGCATGCGGACTGTTAATTGATACAAAATATATGTTCATACTGTCTTTCTGAAAATACCATGTTTGATGTGTTTTTGCTACAGTTACCTTTTTTTCCAGTTACCTAACTATAATGAATAGCCCTTGTAAGTTATTTTGTCTGTTTTAAAATTGCACACATAGTGTAGTCTAGTTACCTGTCTGGATTAGTTAGGGTAGCACTTATTTGGGAAGACAAAGAATAAATTCAATATGTATAATATATTTCCACATGTATTAGATGTATGGTAAGTTCTTTTGAGTCTTGGTTCAGTCTGTTTGCATATATGGTAATGCTAAGGCATATTAAACCCAGTTCATTTAACTGTTTGTCTCCACAGCTGTTTTTAATCAAATGTGTTTTTAATGTGTCACTTAACCCTAACTGCAAACCAGAACAGATTTTGTTTGAAGGGTAATATTACTCTATTTCTTCCAGGAAAATACACCAGCCATGGAAAACTCACATATATGTTATGTTTTACATTAATATGTTTTTAGTAATTCACAGGATGCCTATCACGCCAACACACCTGTTGATAGCAGGTGTATATATATAGCACAGCTATCTCTATACACCTGTTGATAGCAGGTGTATATATATAGCACAGCTATCTCTGTGTATATTTTTCTCAATAAATGTATATGGTACATTTCTGTCAGTGGGAAAATTTGAGCGAGCTTTACTCACAAAAAATTAGCCTATGTTTTTGTAGAAATGGCCAAATGCCATTCTTGATGGTATTTTATATCTCTGTTGACCTCAACTTGGACAAATGCTGTTTTATTCCTCCCCGTTTGCATTCTGCAAGTGCTTGAGAGATCTTTGCTGCTGCCTTTTCAAAATGGAGATCTATTGATCATCTCCAAAGAGCACTGCTAGATAACTGTTGTGTTAGAGTGCAGTTCTCTGTGTGATTCTTTTGGCTGAAATGCTGACTTAAGCAATTTTTCTTTCCAGCGACTTCTTGTTACTATCCAGCCCATCCCCTCAGTTCAGTTGAAGAAAAATTGTTAAGATTGTTTGGCCACCTTGTGAGATGGCACAGTAAACGTGCCTAGACTGAAAATAATTCAACCAGGAAATTAACAGTATTTTAATATGGACCAGTTCCCTACTCTGGTTCAGCCCAAAAAGCTCTATGAACATACCTAAGCGTTATCTGAGGGAGTGGTACAACGGTGGGAATGAGTGAATGGCTGGAAGGGAATCTGAGAACTGCTTCAGCTGACACTAACACCAAATGATATGTGTGTGTAGCCTTGTTCCATGTGCTTTTTCATTATTTTGTGTGTCTTTGTAGGAAATGTAATTAAAAAAGAAGAATACTAGCAATACATGTGTGCATATACACAAACATTTTAAAACATTGTATTAAACAAATATTATGAGGATTTTATTGTGATCCTATCAAACTTTCCCCAAATGCCAACTACAAAATCTCTGTGTAGTTGCAAGGATTAAACCAGTGACAGTTTTTTCAGTGTCTATGCAGTCAATGACTGTGAAATGGCGTAGTGAATTAGTATTGGTAAAATGATTGACCATCTTCAGTTGTAGCTTGGAAACTTTAAGATCATCGTGTATTCTCACACATGGGAATATTGTGTGCTTGCTTCACCTTGATGTAAAGATAGGCCTTTGCAAATTGCAGTAGTAGAGGAGATTTGTAATATGGAAGCACTGCATCTGGTTTTTATGGAATTTCTTGTTTTCCATGCAATAAGTATAGCTTTATAATTTTGAAGTGTTACAGATTACCACATGCAGTTGAGGCTGGAACTTGTATTTGAGTAATAAAATAATAAAAAACCCCAAACCTCTAAATGAGTTTAAAAAAGCAAAAAAGGAAAAAAAAAAAAGCCATCATACGAAGTGATGGAATTCCATCTGCGTCAGAATGAATGAGACATTGTTAATGGAATAAGAGCATGTCCGAATGGTTCAGTGAATCAGTTACTGAGATTTGTCTGTGGCTGAAATTAACTGATAGAACATAGGTCTAATTTTAGCATGTATCATAATATAGACTTGCAAGTATCGATATGCCCGAGTGTATTGATTGAGGCAAAACCATATTATTACTTTAAATTTTATTCCTGGTTTGTAGTTTAGGGAATCGGGCAAAGTGGAAGTCTAAACATGTTAAAATTACTTGCAGTACACAGACTTATGAAAATGAACAAAAAATCAAAGTAATTCCTGAATCTCCATATAAGATTAAAAAGCATTGGATTTGCTTATGCTTTAGAGCATGGATTATTGTTCACTTTGTTCACTACATACTGCTTTAGCACAATGTAAGTGTGAGTATATATATGTATGTATAAAATATAAATGGCTTAATGGAATTTCATGTAGGTGGCATATGCAGTAAACTTATTGATTTCTATAGTTCCGGGAAAGCTAATTATTTTTAATGTCATTAATATGGGATAACTATATTCAGGGGACAGAGCAAACTTGTGTGTTGATATATTTAAATGTAAGTTATGCAGAATGAGTGTCATGGAATTATACAGGGACAAATATTATCAGTATACTTGTGAATCAGTTGATACTACAGAGCCACAGTGAAAGAAGGTTCTAAACAGTGTTAATGTACTGGGTTTTTTCCATTTTGTGGCATGAAGGACGTGCAAAAAAGGAGTTCGGACTATGTTGTAGTCAGAGCTTTCTGACTGTTCTGATAACCTGCAAAGTACTTTGTGATCTGTTAGAACTTTCCGGGGGAATCTTTTTTCTAGCCCTCTCTAGAGATCCATCGATGCTCCTGAAGACAGATTAGTCAAGCAGGTTTTCAGAGTCCTGTGATGAAATCTTCCCGCTTTTTAGTTGCATCATAAGGCACAACTGCAGGTTTTGGTGTTTTGGGGGGTGTTTTTATTTGTTGTTTTTTTTTCCTTCTGGTTGTTGATGCTATGGTTGCTGATTTCAAAGTTTGCCTCTTAATTTTGACAGTCTAAGCCGAATGAAAATTCAGAAAACTTGAAGTTTGTAGGACCTTTTAAAAGTTGTAAGAGTTCTAATAACAAGGGTGGTAATAATTCTGAAGTGTTAATTTTTAAATCTACATTGGGCTTTAGTTTAAGATGACTTTTCATGCCATGTATTGCTGGAAGAACCGTGATCCTCGCTTAATCTGCAGCCTGTACACTGTTTAGGTGGAAGTTCAATTGAACTGTACTGTTGCAAGTGCTTCAACTATGTGAGAAAGGAATATATTCTGTACTTTCTTTCATATAAAATTATGGTGTTTATTTTTTCCATTTAACCAATCATCGTGACTATACAAACCATGATTGCATGATTTTTCTTTTATTTTTCTTTTTTTGCCTTTATGCATTTAGAATGGCTGAACATAAATCTATTGCCTTTCCCCCGTGAGTGTGCTATCATGTGTATATTAGACATTCCATAGAATGTCTCTCTAGAAAATAAAAGCTTCCCGTTTTGGGCTCACCTCCTTTGAATATGACTGTTTTACTTCATCATGTGTGTCACGAAAAATTACTGTTAACACTTATTTTGCCTCTTGTATGAACTACATTTTTGAGTAGTTCCTGAAACTTGGTAATTCTTCATTTTAATTATGAATTGGTAAAAACTAATTTATGCAAATGAATTGGAAGTGAACTTCCTTAGTTTAAGAACTTAGAGTTGTATTTCAAAGACCTACGCTTTATTCTAGAAGATGGATATTCACTAGGAGAGCAGTCCGTTAGTATTTTTTAGTTATGTTTTCCTGTAAGAAGATATTTATCCTTCTTGCAAGACTACAGTTTGTTTTACCCTGTGCTTCAGGATCAAACTGCAGTCAGTTGTAACAGTAAGACCTAAAAAATGGGGAAAAATGTTCCTTTACTTTGCATCAGCTGATGAGAGTAAAATTATGTTGTCTAGCTGCCATCCTAAAAGTGGACCAATAGAGGCTTTGTTAACACAAATGTGTAAAGTTTTGATTATTTATTAATATTGTGCTGAGATACAACTCTATGGGGGAAAAGTATTCTTACATTGTATAATACCTCTGCTTTTATTATACTATGGGTATATGAAGACATATGGTTACATAGTGCTTAGTAAGCCTGAAGGACATGTTTGGCCTAATGTAACTGCTTTGCTTGTATTTCAGGGAAATTAGCAATTCACTGCATGTTTGTTGGCAATCAGCGGTGGTTGGTAAGCAGTCATTTGATGTTTCTTTTTAATCATAACAGGAATTTCCATTTTTTACCTTGACGACCTTTCCACCAGGCTTCCTTGTCCACGTTGGTGGTGTTGTCAGTGCACGGTCTGTGAAGCTCCTGGATCGCATTCACAATCCCGGTATGTTAACACAGTAACAACTTCCTTGCCCAAGTCCAGTCGTAATGATCACGTACTTCTAATCTTTATAACTTTATAACATATCAGTATTTGGGTAGATACAAATCTATTCTAACAATGTATATTAAAAGCAGTATTTTTCAGACAATCATTTAAGCTTGAAAAATAATAGTAATACAGAGGGTATGTTTTTAGTGAGAAACTTTTCAGCAAGTTAATGAAATAATAAAGTACTTTGAATCCAGTAACTTTGCATTAAAAACTGTCATTGAATTATTGGGGGTTTAATTATTTTTTTACCACTCCTTTACTATTAAAACTTGCATCAAGTTTTCCATTCAAACAAAAGTAAGATGAAATACTTGATCTTAACTATGAATGTTTTCTAATTTTCAGCTCCTTGAAATCCTTAAGGACTAATGGCTACAATTTAGCTCCATACATGTTTTTAACCTCTTTTTATAAAACCTTTACAGCTTTGTTTCTGTTCTTAAAAACATACACTGAACAGTCCTTTAAGATTTTTATTTAATATTTACCTGGGAACCCCAGTACTGGAACATGTGTATTTTGCATGTCCTAGTTCTGACATCAGAATTAAGTGACTTTTGACTCTGAAGACTTTGTTATATTCACTGAGACAAGCCAAGGAATACTCTGTAAAAAGTTGGAGTTAACAGCGCACTTAAAAACGCAGACAGAGGAGAGTAAAAAATAGCAGCTGTAGTGGTTTTGCATGTACTGGTCAGGAGTAATAAAACAAAGTTTGTGCAAATGCATCTTTAAAAGCAATTAAAAAAAATAATAATCTTTTTTCCTTTTCTTTCTTCTTCCTGTGGCCCAAGGCAAGTAATTCTGCAAGCAGGTAGATCGTTGCTGATCTAAAGATTCAATAAACTGACAACATGAAATAAAATCTGAGATTTAATTTGAATTTAAAAAAGTAAGAGATTTTTTAAAAGCATATAGAACACGTTGTTCTTTTTTTCCTATTTTTAAGATTTATTTACACAGTGGAGAGAAGATTAAGAGAAATGTCAAAGTATAATTTATATGTGGGTGCTCCCTTTCTTTGCCACAAAGTTGTCTTAGGCTTCTGTATTTTCAACAGATTTCTGGTACAGGTCACTTACATGCAAAACTTCCTGTGTGATAAATTTATTTAAGACAAAAGGAAAAAAAAATCAGTTATGCTCAGAAGTTTTAAAAACTAATTTCTTGCATTATGCACTCCTTCATTTTTACCAACTGTCTGAAAGCAGGATAAGAAATAAGAGAAGATAGAGATGCATATTTGCACAACTAAGTGGCTCTTTGCAGTGTTTTTGTGGGACTTGTAGATTGCTCCTGACAAGTGAATGTAAGATCCATGATACTTTGAACTCAGTATATTGCAAAACAATGAAAACAAAAGGCGGAGTGAAGGCACATGGCTATGGGAGGGCAGGTGAAGAAGTAGAAAAAAAAATTTCTGATATAGTGATGATCATACTAAGCATGTGAGTCAGCTAAGTCTGTAAAATATTAAAGGAAGCAAATAAACTGGCGAATGAATAACCAGGAAAACGTAGAAGAGGAAAGAACATTTGAAGGGGTGGATTGAGAACTTATCAATAAGACAATAATTGCTATATGCTGTACACTTTGATCACGCCTAGTGCTAGATTGCTATAGCATGCTCCTTTTTTTCCCTTTCTATTTCAGCCTCTTATTAACTCTGCTGTCTGTGTCTTTCCAGTTCCTGTGGAGTGGTGTTGTCAATTGTGTTCTTGTTGGTAGTTTTTTTTCACTATTCTGCTCCTATAACTGATCTACTAATTTGCTGTTTTGAACTCAGCCTTTGTCGGAATAATGGGTAACACAAGATCATACAAACTGCTAGACTGGAATAGTTTCAATTCAGGTATTTTACTAGTCATTCAGTACTACATATGCTGACAGAAATTATGGCAGCTCAGTGAAGTTCTTAGAAATGCTGTAGGATATTTAGGTTAATGCTTCAAATTTAAATCTGTTTAACCATCAAATGCCTAAATGTCTTGTTTTAATGTTGTTAAAGGCTTTCTTTAAAATTGCAAAACATTGTTTTAGAATAAAATAGTATTGCTAAGAATAATTTAATATCAATCCGGAAAGCTGAATGTTCAGATGATTATTTTGTGGTAGCTTTCAGCTCAGTGTCCATGAAGCAAATATTTTTTTTTTTAGAGAAAGAGAATGGATTCTTATTTATACAGTTGGGATCATGTCAGGTATGATTTCTTTGTTTTAATAACTTTTTTTTTTTTTGATTGGTTGGTTTGATTTGGGGGGGCTGTTGGTTTTGTTTTGTTTTGCATGAGCTTGCACTTTCTTCAACAATGGCTGTACTTCTGTTAATTTCAGGAAACTGATGAATGTGTTTGTTCTAAATAATAGACATAAAAATTGTCTGAGAGAATGGAAAATAGACGCAGAGGATGATCTGTTTAAAGAGAAGGGTAGCGTGTAGTCCAGAATTTGTTGGTTCATAAGTTTTGTATTGTAAAATGCAATCAGCTTGCAGGACTTACAGCATAATGATTTGAACTTTTTAATCACTTTAACACCTAACTTGAAAAAAGCCCCAATATTCTATTTTTTATGCAGTTTTAGGGATCACAGTGCATAACTTCTTTATACAGCTGCAGAGAAAATGGATGAGTTGATGATGCAGCCTACATAAAAGCTACATAGAGTACTGGCCTCTTATGGGGAGAAATAAAGACTGTTTTTTTTTCCTGTGGAAATGTAGCATGCTTTGTCAAAAAGAAAGGCATAACTTCTCTGCGTATAATATCCAGCCAGCAGACCTTGCCAAGCTTCAATGTTTTTAAAGCTGGCACAGTAGAAAGGTATAAAGCTGACCTTGGGGGGGGGGTTGTTTCCTCCAGAAACAAACTTACTTTATTAGTACTTCACTGTTGCAGTGCAGCTCTGTGTCATTTGTCTTTGGAAATTGCAGTGTCATGCTCTAAACTTCAGTTTAAATTATCTATATACGTTTTTCATTTCACGAATAGTTCAATAATAGGTAGTGCCTAAAACTATTGGCTCATTTTTATATTCTTGTTCCTTGCTACAGTGAGCATCCTGTAATGTTATAATTATGAGGGTTTCTGTTTTTGTTGGTTTTACTTGCTTGTTCTAAAGTGATATCTTTTAAAATGAATTTTACTTTCCGTATGAAAATAATATTATGAAATTCTCAGATCTATTACTGGTATAGCATAGTCTGATCCAAGGTGTTAAAAATAAAAGTGTCGAAATCTTGCATCTTGTATGCTACCTTGGAAAGTTTGAATTAATTGTTGCTTCTTCGAGGTAGCGTTTAGTAGGATGTTACCATGGAAGACTTTTATTAGAATAACAGAGTAAATGAGTTATGAACAGACAGTAAACATACATTGAGCTGCGCTAAAAAGTGATCCAGAAATGTAAGCCTAGGAAGCTAAGGGGAAGTCATGAATTCATTTCTTGACAGAATATTCAAAACAGTAGCCTAAATTTTTTAGAGATAACAGGAAAAAGAAAGCACATATATATAAAAATGTGTATATATATATATATATGCATTTTATACCCAGAGGTGGTTGTTACCCAAAAATTTTTGAGTAGAGAGGTCTAAACCAAACAGTAATTTTAAAGTTAATACCTTGCTGAGAACTGTCTGTATTTCTGTTGCCTTGCCGTGTGTCAGCAGCTCTGTAGTAACATTCTTGATTAATCCTACTGGTTAGGAACTGAGCAGGTTATGCTCATATTCCTGGAAGTACATTTTTTTTTGCAGTGCTAGGTGCGTTGCTGAACGAAGAAGCAGGAAGAGAGTAGATCAGTTGTTAAATATGATGTGATGGATAGTAGAGTTGCAGATTACATACAAGTTAACTCTGTCTTAGACTGGAATAACGAATATGCTGTGCAGATCTGTTACCATTGAGAAAACAAAGGAAAAGTTTTCTATTCATGGCCCCCTTCTAGAGCTTGCTTGCTAACTCTGTCATTGCTGGCTAATACTTGGACTGAAGGAGAGCAGGGATTTATACAGCTTAAGGAAAACAATACTACGTCTTTACATTACATTCACGTTAGCAAGAATGTAATCACAACCATGAGTAGGCTAAAATTATTTTCCTTTTTGAAAATGTTCAGGCTTCATTTAAGCTTGCTAGTAACCTGTATTAGCATAGAAGGGTATTTCTTTTTTTTGCCAATGGCAGGGAGGCTTGTTTAATTAAGTGTGTAAGATACAACAGGGCCATCTGATGGTGGTGAAAAGTCAGAGATTTGAAGATGCTTGAAAATCACATGTGGAAGTAAAGACTGACTTTATTTGATGACTGGAAAAGAAACTACTTAAACATCTGGGAATTGCATATAGTTCAATGACAAGTGTTTAAATGTTTGTAAAATTACGAAAAGGTGATGATCAAGATGAATCTGCAAAATAAAAGTAGAGAGGCAAGAGCACAAAGTCATAGAAAAGAGGACACATAACACAGTGGAAGAAATACTGTGGTGCTGTCTCTGAAAAAGAATGTTAAAGATGTACTATAAATATAAACACATGAAAGGAATCCTGGATCCAGAAGACTGGATCTTTGTTAAAGTTTCTCCCCGAGGTTAAATATAGAGAAGAAAGGTTCCTTAGGAAGTGCAAAGAACTTGCTGAATAAAGACTGCTTTTGCATACGGCTGTTTCATAGCACTGACATATACAGTGTTCTCACATAATTACAGTTTTAAACTCCTCATTCAGGGAGCTGCTTCAGCAGTGATTCTTCAGCTCCAGAAGTCAGAAACATGGAAGGAGAAAAGGTTTTTAATAAAATCCCGAAGGATCTCCTGAGCTCCTTGTTTGATATCCAGACTTGCTGTTGGAGCGTGAAATTCTCCAGAACTCTGGTTTTATATATGAGAAAACGCAAGAGGAAAGCTTGAATATGTTTTGGTTCTGTAACTGAATGCTTTTTTTCCCCACA